TTTACAATTGTTGCCGCTACATCCTGTATACACGAACTAAAACTAGTCTCACTCGGGTAAAAAGGCTCAATTTGAGAAGTCCCCCCCCCCAGTAATTTTCCCATTTATACTAAACGCTTTTCATGTGCCCCAGTGCAACAACATGGAAACAACACATTCACTGTGAAATACGTGGCAACTTCACTAAATGGAAGCAAATTGCATTAATTGAGTTTTGAGCACTTAAAACAAGACCATTACACCACGCAGGGATCGATGTTGGGCCACGTCTACAAAACACATTCATTTGGTTAGTTGACGTAGCTCGTATTGGCTCAATGCTTTTCCTGTTTTTTTTGCGTTCAAAAGTAAATTGAAATAATTAGTAGATACATGTCTATTACAAAAGATCCTGGGATTTTTGTAATTCATCTTAAATATGGGTACGTACATAGTTATTTAATTGCCAACCAAATGTCAGGTTGATTTTACTGTACGATTTATCTAATAAAATATGAGTTACGTTCTGACAATTTTTATTGACCTTTAGTACAGTCATTGAAGCTTTTCACCTCCGAATTCTTTGAAACTGAACCGATCGACTTGAAATTTAGCAGATAGTTAGAGAAAAGGTCAATGAACATTAGTGACAGCGCCGATTGACGCTTCCACCCTGTTGGGGGTTGACACCCCTTCTCGGGGGTGGATATTTTTTTTCAAAAATAGAGGATCAAATTTTGAGCAAAAAATATTTGAAGAATTTTTCCGAGAAATCAATAGTTTTTTAATTATTCACGATTGAATTTTAAGTGAAAAAAAAACACTTTTTCAAAGTATTTTTCGCTAATAACTCGAAAACTACGCATTTTATTTAAAAAAGTGTAATGAACAAAAATGTAGCTTATAAATAAAAAAAGAAAATTTTTAAAAAATGTACGTCCTATACAAAGCGAAATATGGTTAGTGGAAGGGGACTTGTTTTGGGGGGAATACTCCAATCGATGTATTCAACGTCAAATAACGGAAAAAGGATTAATTTTACGTGTATAACGCTCCTGGAGTTTTTTGTAATACTCAAAAGACCTTCAAAATAAGCATTTATAAAAGTTAATTAGAACAAAATTGAAGGAGTTATCGTCAAAAACAGATGGGTTGCTCATATTTTTTAAGGAAAAATGAATAGTAAACGCTGTACCATTTTCATCAGAATTAAAATTAATCGTAGACCCTTTACAATTAGTTTTGTTTTAGTGTTTTTCATACGATCCTGAAGTTAGACCGGTTTAGAATGCGTATTTTTTTAGTAATGTACGGTAAAAGTTGAAAACGTATTTTTCATTAATCAAAAAAAATTGCATTATTTATATAATAACTCTGAAACTATGAAAGATACGTAAAAAATGATAGACAACAAAAATGTTGCTTTTTTTTCAACAAATATTTTGCTTTCTTTTTATTCCTATAGCATAAGAAATAAAAGAGATATCGCCGCTTGAAGAATCCATTTTAGTGAAAAAACGACCTGTCTCGAGCCCTTCGATCATTTCCCTTTAAAAAACGAAGTACTTAAAAGGTTTTATATGCAAACGATCATACAGCTCTTGAAATTATCTTTAAAATACTTTTTTGTGGGATACTGTAGCTTCAAAATTAACCGAGTTATGGTAAAAAACCCAATGACATTTTTTCTCAGCAAAATATAGGCTTTTTCATTTGTATGTATTATATATTATATTATACAAATAAAATAAGTAAAAAAAATTAGTGTGATTATTTATATGCAGCGTAGCAATTTTTTTATGATTGATTATATTTAAAAATCGATTAAAATAAAAATATTTTACATTACTATTGGTAAAAAGGTAGTTTATAAGAGTTGAAAATGGCAAAAGTAAAATATTCTTTCATAATCAATATAAGGAAATTTTTATTTTAAAATATTGCACAATTATAGCATTCCAAAATTTAAAACGTATTTTTTTATCATTTTTTTCGCATAGGGGTGATTTATAAGGGTTGAACATTGTTATGAGATTCAAATTCTTTCATAAGCAATGAAGGAATTTTTATGTTAAATAATTGCACCGTTAAAGCATTCCCAGCTTTTAAAAAGTAATTTTTTATCATTTTTGTCAACACAGGGGTGGTTTTTAGGGGTTGAAAGGAAAAAATTCTTTTATTAGCTATAAGGTAACTTTTATTTTAAATAATTTTACGATTTAATCATTCCAAATCTTTAAAAAGTAATTTTTTATCATTATTATTTGCATAGGGGTAGTTTTTAAGAGTTAAATAAAGGGTCGAAAAGATCATATATATGATAAAACATGTTCGAGAACATGGAACATTATTTAATCTTTGTGCTTGAACAAGATGTTTAAAAAATGCTTAAAAATTAATTTTTTCAATTTTTTTCACTTAGGGGTAGTTTTTACACCTAAAAAACAAAAAGCGTCAATCGGGCTTCCGTCACTTTTGAACTTGAGCCTAAGATGAGCCTTATTCTAAATTTTCATGCAAATCCATGCAGTTTCAAAGAATTCGGAGGTTACAGCTGATTTTCAGCTTCAATGATTGTACATACTAATATCCACATTCTCCTCTATGAAAATAGTTGACTTAATCATTGGGAATTCACTCCACACACTAGCCGATGACTTTAAAGTTCTTAATTTCTCCATGAAAAATGCTAGCAGTGACATTTTAGAAACACCAGTATTTTTGTTCTGGCACCATTCTTTATGGTGTAAATAACTATTGCTATTGGGCAGTCATACGTTAAATTAAATAAACCAGATTTAAAACTGATTCCTATGAAACAGATCTCCGCCATTTTTCATCTAAAAAAAATACAAACGATTTCCAACGACCACTCTGTCAGAGTCGGTCCCATCTCGCACATCTGCAACGTGTATGTATACACATAAATTGTTTGGATAAAAAGTTGAACCGAACCGAAACTTTTTTAACAAATTATTTTGCAGATAGCATTGCCGTATATTTATGTTGATTTTATTCAAGGGTGGATTACATTTCAAATAGAATACTGGGCCGCCGCCGTTATTTTATTGCAACCAAAGCTAATTCCGGAGCGTTTTGCAGAGCCTGTACCTGGAGTAATACACATACAATCGTGTCTACTGCTGTTATCTGCTACTTCTATTTTTGAAAGAGTCAGTTTACTCCGGCAATTCCAACTGCAGTGTTATAGTTATTGCTATATTTGGTATTTGGATCTAGCGTTAAGGGAAATAAACATTTTTTGGACGCAGTCGGTTGTGTACTACGTCGAGCATTATTTTTTATGTATCTAGTTGCGCGATTTTTAACGATAAAAGAATGCTCGCTGACTTACTCGTATAATTCTGAAACTTGTGCAAATAGAAACAGTCACGATTTACCTTTTAATCCGTTTCTTTATTTCTCAAAAGCTAGAGAACAAGTGTAAGACAATATAATCCTTAGAATTCTCGTGTACATAATTTTAAGATAAGAAATATGGGTGAAAAAGTTGCATATTTTCATACCATATCCAATTTTGAAAAGAAATTGGAGATAAGCTGCTCCGTTGCTGAAATAAGCCGAAAAAACTGAAAACGTGACATTTCTTATTTAATATATTTTTTATTATTAAAAGTACAGAACATAAGGTGATATGCTCTATCCAGGCCTACTAAATCCTTATGTTGTCGTAACCAACTTTTGATTTTTTTTATGAACGCCATATTGGATTTTTGCGCTAGATGAAACATTAAATTTCGAGCTCAACGATGTATAATACTTGGACGAAAAGATTTTATAAAGGACCAAAAAACGTCAATTTCATGATTTATTTAATTCGATTGTAGTAGCCTTGAAAAACAAATGAAAATTTTGTTTAAAAGTAAACAAACTATTATTTATTTTTGTAAGTAAGTGCTCAAGTGTTTTTATTATGTGTTCGTAGTTTTTTCAACATATTGCAGAATTGACATGAAAATATGTAACATTTTTGTTATTTAACCAACCCTGTATATCTTCTAGTTCAAGAGATACTAATGGTGTACACGTTTAAAGTGACCACCCTGTATCACTAGTCTGAAAGAATGTGATACACCAAAGGAAAATACAGAAACATGCCATTATTACCAATTTTTGAAAAATCTCATATTTTTCCCTGTAACATTGAAAGTAAGCCTTAAATAAAAAAAAGTCATTCTTAGTAGTACACACAGTAGAATACTGTCATATTTGGCTAAAAAGGAAGGGATTGCGACGTAGTTTTTATGTGTGCAGGATTTTGTCGATTGCATAGAAAATTCCCTGGGCGATAAATAATTGTTTATAGAGTAAAATGTTGAAAAATTAAAAAAAAAATTTAAATGGTTATAAAAGTGTAAAAATATGTATTTTTAGTATTGACCATTGTTTATTATGACAAACGAGTATCTCTAAAAAATTGTGTGCCCTTCATTTAAACCCATGGAACGCGATAAATTTTTTGAAATTTTCTTAATTAACAATCCTGTCAATCGAAAAGTACGCAATTGATCATTGCAAATTTTTTAGGGTATAATTGATATATATTTTACCATTTGTTCACAAAATTTCGCCAATATTTATAAATATTTACTTACTTATTTTAAAAATTGCTCCAAACATACATACGATTTTCTACATTTTTTCGCCCATTGATAATGCAAAATTTAACTTTTTTGATTCGCATTTGTTGCAATTTTATAGAAAATCATCAAATAACCAAAAAATAAAAAATGACTTTTTTTTATTTAGGGCTTATTTTCAATATTACTGGGAAAAATATGTCGAAAAACGGGTAATTTTTCATTCTTTTTGTATGTTTGTTGTTCCCCTGAATTTAGCAATGGTTTTTTGGAAATGGCAAACTCGGATTCTTATTCTACATAATATTTGGAAGTTTTCTGTACAACAAAATAGATGACTTGAAACCCTAAGCCTACTTTTACTGCTCTATCACCTGAACTAATAAGGAATTTCAACTCAACCGTACGTTTTTGTTACAGATTAGAAGCAGTACTTTTTATATTTTCACGAATATGGTCCGCTTGGGCGGCTCTAACAGAGGACGATGCGTTTGCTTTGCCACCTTCCTTCGCCCTAGGAGGCAATCCAGAAGGTAAAGTAACTCCAGTATTAATAATAATAACGACTGAATTGAAAACTTATCTGGATTTTTCGATTCTTTGAATTTATTAATATTTACCACAAACAAAGGTAAAGAAATACCAGCTGATTTTAATTTTCTACAATAAATTTGTTAATTAATATTTTCATATAACTTTGAAGATATTTATTAATATGCGAGTACAGACAATAACACTGAGAATAATACAGATATTATTCGTTGTTCCCTTAACCTACCTGTCAACTGAATTACATTTTTGTCAGATATAATCTAAGAATGCGAGCACAAGCACGAAATTAATTATGGCAAAATATTAAAACATCTTGAAATAATGAGAGAACATTTGAGCTAATTTATCATCTTTAAACTCGACTCCAGTCCGTAATTTTTTGTAATTATTAACGGCGTTTTAATGAAGAAAATAAGAAACCTAAATTCTCAAGAATGCAAAGATGTAATTTTCATAACTTCATTCGAGTTAATAACCTATTTAATATTCATCTCTCAAGATACACTTCAAGTTATTTATCTGGAACTCTACTTGTACATTTTGCAGCAGAAAATATAAAATATTTCATTTCATATATTCTATATTTAAGCTAAACTTATCCCGAGACATGTTAAAATTAAGACTTATTTTGCTCTACGTTTTATTTAGGTTTATTGTATAGAACCACCAAATATTTAAAAAACCGCATCTTCAGATAAAATGTACTGGCAGTATCGTAATTTGAGGTTACTAAAGGTGTAACCTAAAAATATACTTCTGTGCACATATACTTTTATGGCTTGGAGCAAAGATGTGAACTATACTTTTACCAACCCTAAACATAACTCGTCTAAAAATATTGCATTTAAGGCTTCGCTCGAGATTGTTTCGTGTGCAAGAGCTATTTATACAATTCGCCTAACTGGAATTATTGTGGTTTCACCAGATCGTCCAGTTCCTGGTGTCTATTTTTATTAGGCCAGTGTTTTATCGGGGTGGGATTTCCTTAATCATAATTAGTTACGTGTAATACAAAACGAAACTAACTCATATTCTCCAAAAAAGCTAATCACGTCTATAACTCTTTTAAGGATGTCTAATGGACTGTGATTAAATTTAATTGCCTAATTTTTGATATAATTTTCTTTCCTTCAAGTGTAAAAGTGTGTAACTGTAAACAGCTTCCACTACCTTGTATGTGCAGAATTAAATTTACTTTAAAATGATACTATTTAAAGCATCGCCCTTTTTAATTTAATATACTGAATTATGGTTTTTGATGAAGGTATAACGATAATAAAAATTAGGGTTCATTAATCAGACACCGTTTATTATTCAGTTCTTAAGTGCATAAAATCCACCGTACATTTTTCTGTACACTTGCTAGTTCTGTCTACTCGCATTGCTAGTGTCCTCTAACTAATAAAATTGTATTAAAAAAACTATATATAGAGCTTGGCTCAATACTTGCATCACCGCACTTATTCCTGGATCCAGTATCTATTGTAAACTTACTTGTATGAAGTTAGTAAACTAACTAGAACTAGCAAAGCAGAGTTAACCCAAACTTTCTTAACTTTGATTAGATTACTTAAATGTTGTCCGTGTTAAATGAGGTATGTTTTTTAAATCGTTTTAAGTCTAGGAAATAAACTAATAATGAATCAAACAGAGCCAAACAAAAATTAACACAGTTTTTTAGTTTTTTCCAAATAACTTTAAAACGCTTTGTCCGATCTAAATGAAATTTGGTATGCTAGTACTTGTACATTCTTGCCGTAGATAGACCAGAGCGGATCTGTCTTTACTGTAGCCGTCCTAATCAACCGATTTAAATTTTTCAAAAACCATTTGAAAGGTTGAGCGGTCTTTTTCAAAAAATTATTTTGCGAAAACTATGAAACCGATTTTAATGAAATTTGGTGTGTTGTTTTATTATACTCTAAAGCTATTTTTACCAAAATTAGAATGCCCTCGGAGCAATTAAAATATTTAAAAAAATTATCCAAAAAACTTGGTTATTTTGCCTTTTTTTTTCGTCAATTATTGCTATTTAGCAACGTCGGTAATGAATTTAAACAATTTTAACTTACAGTATATTGTGCAAAGTTCAATTCTAAAACTTTTTTCCTCTTCAGTATTCTTCCAAAATGCATAGGTTCCAAGGTATAGGTAAAAAACTCAGATACAATAGGTATTTCTTTAAATTCTTTAAACATTTTTGCCATTTTGAAAATTTAGGGATCTACACTTTTATTACGTGAATTGTACTGAAGATATTCAAGCAAAAATTATCTTTTCTCCTCTTACATTCAAGAAGGGATATTTCGACAGATCTTCCCTGTTCTATTGTGGAATATATCCTTTACTTTTGGAAGGTGGTGTAGATTTCGGTTAAAATGTATCCGCTATATGAAAATATAAATCACGTGCATTTGGAAATGCACACCTGTGCATTTTTAAACTAATATAAATGCAAATTTCATAATATCGTCGTCTCAAAACGCCACACATATAAAAATCCGAATCCGTAGAACCGAATGTAAAATTGTATTCAATTTTACCAGAGATCTTACCGAATTTCTTGCGCTCGTAATACTCGAATACCAAACGGTGGCATCTGTTAAATTCAATTATTTTGCTCCCCTTCTACCGCCTCTGATTGAGTTACACAAAACAAAGGAGTACAGTCCCATAAATAATTTCTTCCAGACAATTTAATAATTATTTTGAAAGTTCATTACCGCAAATAATTACTTCCACACAATGTAACAATTATTATGAAATCCTATTATCTCCAGTCAGGACCCCACCTCATTTTCTCCTTACGACGGCCGCTTATTGAATTTTTGTTTTATACAGGGCGATCTAAGTTTTACAGGTGAAATCTTAATATCGACAAAACGCTAAAAATAATGGCACATGAAGTATTTTCACGCGGCCAAACAAAAAACTGTTTTAGTCCAGTCACTGAAACATTTTGGCTGCCAATTTTTTTGGATGGAATGGATTGACGTGAAATTTGACCTGTAGTCAGGGAATAGCCCAAGAAACAAAAGTTACATAGTGCCGATTTGTGCTTTTACCCTAGGGGTGGATGCCACCCCTTCAGGAGGGTGGAAATTTTTTTTATTAAAAATAACCTCACGATTCGATAGAGCCGAATTCTAAGCAAAAAATGTTCTATAAGAATTTCTTGTATAGTCGATACTTTTTGAGTTATTTTCGCCTAAACATGTTCGTTTTTAGCCCAAAAAATGCATGTTTTTGAGCCATTTTTCGCGAATATCTCAAAAACTACAAGTTTTATCAAAAAAATGATCACAAGCAAAAATGAAGGTAATTAAATAGCAAAGAGATTGCTTTTTTATTTTTGTAGGTGGTATAGAACCCGAGTTATGACTCCCAGAAGTTGAAGTCAATTTCGAAGATAGCTATAATCGAAACGTAATGTGGCGGAAAAATTAAAGGTTTTTCGAGGAAAACTTATATAACACTTATTAAAGTTCTTGAAGCGACCTTTAAATTGAGTGGTGGTAAAAGTCGTTAGCATGAAAACTAATGAAGTTACGATCAAAAAAATGATTTGTCGATTTTTGGGAAAAAAAATCGGTATTAAAATTAATTACTTGACGGGAAAAAAATTAAACATATTCCTTCTGCAATTTACTTTATTTATGTAATAGCAGTAGATTCTGGGAATTTGAACGATTTTAGAAGCCTAAATTTAAAAAAATATTTCATTAACTCTTGAATAAAATTTTTCACTTTTTAAAAAAATCGCCTTTTTTCAAAATATTTCAAAAACTGACAGTTATAAAAAAAATGATATAATAAGAAATTGTAGGTTTTTTCTTACTGAACAATTTGCTTTTTTAATTTTTATAGGACAAAATTTGACTCGAGTTATGATCATTAGAAGCTCAAAACTAAGCTCCGAGACTGCCTTTCCTGAGCCCTTTTAGCTTACAAATCTAAAAAACGAAGAACTCAAAAAACTGCAAATCACAGAACTTAAAGTGCTTTAAATTCAATACAAAATGGTTTTTTGAGTAAATTTATAACTATAAAATTACAAAAGTTATGGTAAAAAAATTAATCGCATTTTTTCGGTAAAATATTTGAAGATGAATTGATTCTTTAAAATACGTAAATATGCGACTTTGGGGGGGTCAGATGAGGTTGTATGCAAATTTTCAGGAAAATCCATGCTATCCGAAAAAATTGGGAGCTTTTACCTTATTTTCACCTTCAGTAACTGGACTATTTTACACGTTTCTTAAGGTGTTATTGTTACTTTATAGACATAAGCAGAGTGTCCCACAAAGACCCGAACTTTTCACGATTGAGTCCTATCAAAAAAAGTTTCAGATAAAAATTGTAGGATATCAAACTAATATGCTATACCCGTGTTCCATAATAATGGGCAGTGATTCATATCCAGCACTTAGACGAGTAAGCGAGGCGAGGGGTGCAGAGGACAAGATTCCATAGGCGTACTACTTGAGAAGGGGCCAAAAAACAGAAAATTTAATTTGAAAAACCTTACGTCCGAATAAGAGGTCGGGAAATTTGTTAGTTCTTAAAAATACACGAAAATAAACACAGTTAAAGAATATTTACTTATTTCTATAAACGAACTACTAATTTATTCTCGGAAAAACTTAAGTAATATAACATTTGACTAGAAATTGCACCTTCACCTTTTGCAAACGTAGGTGGATATTTTTCTGGCACCCCTCGTAAAAGTAAAACACTTACGCAAAGCCACTAAGCATTTTTTATTGCTACCGTAATTGAACGGTGTACAGTATAAAAGAAAACCATAAAAATTTAATTCATTGCGAAAAAATTCCCCGAAAGCCCGCTTTAACAGAAAAGAGGAACAAAAGCGCGACGGTATATATAAAACACGTAAAATAATTCAGACTACAGTAGCCGGAGAGTGTTAATGCAATTGAGACCTAAAAAGCATATTTAAGGGGCGCCCCAGGAACGTCCG